CCAGTGTAAACATTGCGACAGCAGCGTCAGCTGGTCTGTGCAGCTGAGCCATGGGCTGTTTGTGATGCTGCAAAGGGACAGTGGACTTTGTACTGCCCTTCAACAGTTGGGACCAAGGACAGCTGGGGCCAAGGACCTCCAGGACAGAGGTTCTGTTTTGCTCCATTCAGGAGTTTTGGGCTAAGGGCATCTGCAGAGCCGTGTGAGAAAACAGCTGTGATGTGCAGCACAGCTTTGGGTAGCTGCGAAGTTAATGCTGTGCCCCATGAAGCATCTTTGCTCTGTGGACATCCATAGGAAGCACATGAATCAGAACTGCTCTCAGAGTGTTTTCATCATGTAGGCTTCATTATTTATTGTGGCTTTTCCTCTTGCAGCTTCAGTGGAGGGAGCTCCCGAAGTGACCATGAGGGGACTGTTCAAACACATTCTGAAGACAGAGGGAGCGTTTGGGCTTTACCGGGGTCTGGCACCAAACTTCATGAAGGTCATCCCAGCTGTGAGCATCAGCTATGTGGTGTATGAGAACTTGAAGATGACTCTGGGAGTGGAGTCACGGTGACCAGGAGATGCTGAGGACTTTGAACTCTGAAATCTTGGGGTGCAATCCCAAGACGTATAAGCCATCTCTCATTCTGTGAATGTGTTGACACTAAGCTGACTAAGCAAAGCTGTGAAATCTCAGATTGTGAGTCAGTAAGGGGGAGGGGAGGATCTGGTGTCCTTTGCCATCTTGCTACTCAGAGCTCCACATAAACCATCACGTGGTCCTTTGTGTTGGGCCTTTTGGGAGACTGGGAGGTCTCCCTCAGCTGGGAGTAGCTGAGGTCAGTTCCCAGGAGTATGACAGAGTAGCAAAGATTTGGGTTACAGGTCTGCTCTCAGCGTGTTGCCTGTACAGAGCTGTTTGCCTACAGATGAGCACCTTCTGACTTGCTGAAAGAGCTTCTTTTTCCATTCAGAGAGCTTCTTTTCCATTCAGTTGTTTAACTTCCTACCCGTTGTTTAAATTTGTACAAACCTTGTGTAGGAGCTGCTGCCACACCAGGCTTGTTCTTATGTTTACATATATTCCTTTGGGTAGGAGACATTCATGTTCTGCTTCCAAGACTTGACATGAAATGTAATTTTGATCTATATTGGTTTGGAGGGCTGGTAGGCAGTGGTTTATCCAGTCAGGCTGGAAGTTACTTAAGCCAGCCTGATGAAGAATTTAGAGTTATTTATTTTTTATAGGTTTAAGTGTGTCTCATAAATCCACTAACAAGATGCACTTACTAACAGAAGCAGCAGACTAGAGCCTGCATGCCTGTATCCTTTGCATGCCAGGATTGGCTTGTCTTATACTCAGCAGGGGCTTGGAAAGGGGAAGGCAGGAGAGCCCTGGGTGGACTGGCACCGTGATGCATGGCTTTAGTGAACAAAGACAATATTTCACAGCTCCTGTGCAGTTGTGCTCCCAGCACGACACGAGAGCCCCTGTGCAGTGTTGCATGGACCTCTGAAATCCATTCTGCTGGTGCCAAGGAGAGCTGGTGGACCTTTTCCAAACCCCATGCCTATGCTGCTATCTATCTCTTTAGACCTCTTTGTAGATTGATGTTCAGGTTTCCATTAGTGGGATGGAGTCCCCAAGTCAGGAATGTCTGCTGTGGGAAGGGGTGTTAAGGGAGAGGGCCTGGTTGTCACTGGGAGAGGTGAGCTTTCAGTCCTGAAGACATGCTTGCTTTTCT